AACAAATACGCGAGATGGATACAACTTTAAGTAAGCGTGACCAATCATGAATGCGGTAACGGTAATTCGTCGATTTTTGACAGGGTATTAGGTACCCCTCAATGTCCCCCTCCAGACTCTGCAAGGTCGTATTAGCTTTCCCCGAACCTTCTCAGGACTTCGTGATGTTTTCCGGGGAAACGTTTCTCCAGGCGACCGGAGAAACTCTAAAATAACCCACCACGAAAGCCGACATCAGTTTAACGCGCGCTGATTTCAAATGTATAGGAGCAAATTAAGGTAAGTCAGAAAAATCTTTTGCGACGGTTGTGTGGGGGAGGCTTGGAGGGGTGGGGAAGGAGTCGGCTAAGATAATAGGTCTACCGCAGCTTTTCAGGGAAGATTTAATAAAACAGAAAGTAATCTAGGAGCAAATCTAAACTGACTACTAACAGCAAAAACCTTTTATTTTGGTTTGAGAAGCCTGAAAATGAAATTGAAATATATATTTTTTGGCGCTAAAGTAAAAAAAAAAAAACTACGGTATGCTATGAGGGCTGGTCATTTAAACTGATGTACAAACGTAGTGTGCAGTACCAAGTGCCACAAGAGACTGTTAAGATGATTTTGTCCATTTAAAGATATACGTATTTTAGAGTAAAAAGGGCATGTCTCTACAAATCTAGGCATCCTCGTTTAAATTACGGTTCAGGGACCCGATTCTCAAAAGTCTCGGTAACATTTCGGACCCGAAAAGCTGTTTAAGTTTGCCGCGTTTGCATTCAAAATCAATAATTTTGGAAATGATACAATGAAACTATCAGTTAACAAAGCAACGCTGACTGGTTTGTGCGCCAGAAACTGTGCTACTATTCAACAGGTATTTATTTAAGAATTTGCCTTCGGGCCCCGTAAAACTACCGGGCCTTTCGAGAAACCGGCCCCAGGTTCGAGGAAAGTTTCCTGTCTTTTTTCTGTGCCCGGTGGAGCCAATTCGGTAAGCATTAGGATCGATCAGGGTGGTCCTTATTATTTTTATAGGTAACTCACACCAAAAACATTTTTGGCCACTTGAAGTGCAACTCTAACAAAGTTAATAGACAAGTCAACCAGCGGAGCTAAGAAAGCAATCGTGAAGTAAATATTCCGCGTTTGATAGTAGTAAGCAGAGAGTTTATAACTGGAAAAAAAAAATGTCACAAACTGAAAAACCGAGAGCTGAAGTTTAAGAATTTACCTGCCCCCGGTTGCTTAAAAGTGGATACCCACTGGATAAATCACTATCCAGTGGATAACGCAATATTAGTTTTCATAATACTTATCCATTGGATAGTGATTTATCAGGTGGATAGCGCTATGGAAATTTTGAACAACCGGGCAAGGTCTTTGCAAAAGCACGTTTCAGCATTTGGTGATACTTGTTGTTATCTCGGAAAACCTCATCCCTGACACCCCTCACAGCACTACCGATCCCAATCCCAGGGGTTTGCTCCAAGAACACGTTGCTATTATTCATAGTGCCTGGGTCCACCCAAATTTTTGCCATTGATCCCTGATCCCAAATACTGTACCTCCTTACGACCCTGACCCTAGCCTGAGAAAGAATATTTCGCAAAGTGGGTCAGTGGGTCAAAGTTTGTTCCCGCGGTCTTTGTATACGAAAAGTGTCGATGATTCAAACCGAGTGTAATCTTGCGGCAGAAAGGCTTACTTATCTAACTGGTAAACTGGGCGCCTTGGATGGCCTCACAGAACAATATGTGGGGTAATGGGGTCGGAAATGTAATACTCCAACAACAGGTGATGGGCTCCTGCAGGTGAGTGTCACTAAACTGATCAGTAGACTAGCCTGTTAAGGAGCGTCAGAACCCCTCTTTTCTCCAGGGATGCCGGTCAGAATCCCCTGTGAGAGGTCCCTAGTACTCCTCTTCAGAGCTGTAATTACAATACCCAGAAAGAGTTCCTTACTGCTCTCCATGCCGGGGGTCACAATCCCCTGAAAGAGGTCCTTAGTCAGGGGGCCACAATCCCCACTCCTATCCAGAGGTCCTTAGTCCCTAGGGTGTTTCAGACTCATGGTTATCATGGAAACCATCCTTTCTGCTTATTTCCCATGGACGAGACCAAATTAAACCCAATTAGCAAAACTTTGTTTACTGTCATGTAACAACCAGCTACTGATGTGAAACTCAGATTAAAATAAGAGAATGTGGGTACTGAATGTATGTAAAGCAGTTTGAGGACTATAGTGTCCCAAGGTTCTGATAAACCACGGAGATAACCTACAGAAGCAGAGATAGTAGCCATTCCAGTCCTAAAGTTATGACCAGCATAATAGCATAGCATATCCCGTGGAGCAGCTTTCATTTGAGGAGTAGCCAGAAACAGCGACTAGGCTCTATCTCAGAGCCTTGAATTGGAGATATGCAATCAAAAAGAACAAACAACTAAAGGGAATCAGATTGTAATTTGATCAAGTATAACCTACTAACCGACGTAGTTTATACCCTGACTAGATGTAAACTGGTTCTACCTATGAATTGTCCGTACTGAAACGTAATTACCTAGCCCAGCCTTGAAAGTTTCAGTTAAAGTCTGAATCAGATTCATTAATGAGTATTCTTCTTAGTTCTTTAATACGACCAATAAAAACTCTTTTTCTAATACCGATGAAAATGCATTCTCATATTTTTCAAAAGTAAATAATAACTTCTGTTTTATATTTTAGTTTGTTTTTGCTTTTAATTATTTGAAAGCTATGGTGCGAAGACATTCTTCTTACAGTGAGAGAGAGGTTCTCCTGGCGTAACTCACAAATGAGAGTACATTCACATACACCAGTAAGGCAGTAAGGGTAGCTAATATAAGGAAAAGGGGAGCATTGCAAAGAATGTTGCTTGGGGACGATCTAAGCATTATTGGTATTAAGTTCAGGTTAACCAAAAGTCACACAGCACCTGATCGAAGGTAAGTGAAGAGCGGTGTCGCACTCAAGGCCGGCTATCTTTCAGTAAAGGAAAACATGGGCTGGCGATTGTTCAGCGGGGCCTAACCTGACTGTGAAGCTGGAGTCCTTTCCATTAGCCTTGTGAGTAGTAGCCTAGTGTTTCGAGACGTCCACAACAACCCACGACGCATAAGAATTGCAGAGAATGTTCTAGGGACTGAATTTGACAGAGTGGTGCAATCAGGTTCCAGAGTTGATGATTACATAAGGAAATGGTATTATGCGGAGGGTCCCATTTAAGGTAGCACGGATTATTTTATAGCTTCGTTGCAGCTGGCTGATATCTCCTTTTGGTCCTTCTAGGCAAGAGTAAGGGTGTGGTCTAAAGATGAATGAAATTGGACCTTTTACATCTTCCGAGTAAGAAACAGCTTTGAAAAAATTCTTGAACGGAAATACAGCCCCCAGTTATTAGGATATTTTGTCCAGCAGCGAGAAGTGCATTACCATAAACTGAGCGTTGGTAGGAAAGACGAGTCCAGGGCGGCATGCTTCTTATTCTGAAACACGTTTGAGACACCGGACAGTAGTAGCGCAGAAATCATGTTAAAGCTTTTTGTTTAAATACTAAAGCGGTCGGTAGGGTTGAAATCACGGTGGGCCCATAGCATTGCCATAGGACGCAAAAAGCTGCAATCTAGGAACCACTCGAACAAAGACAACCAAAATGTCGGAAAGCTTTTCCTTTAAATACCAGTTCAAAGCGGTCAGTAAGGTTGAAATTAATTCTGGTAACTCCAACTCCGTAATCAGGTCAAGACCTAGACTGGCCACAACTCGATTTCAAATCCTTGGGGATATGAATAAACGAAGAACCCGTGCAATAGTCAAAAGGGGCGCGCGGGCACCGAAGGACCCCTTCCCCTTCCCCAGATTCCCCTCTGGGTAATTAGCCTGTGAACACTGAGGTCCCCAGACAGGTAGCAGGGGGGAGAAATGAATGCGTGACAAACGAACCACAAAGGACGTCTGCGGGGAGCCTGTTCACAGGCTACTGGGTAATAACCTTTCGGCTTCAGGGCGGAAAAACGTAATGAGCATGCGTGAACTTTTTTGCCCAGATCCCCTGGCCGGGTTTGAAAAAATGGCGGGATTTCAAATATTTTATTGCCTAAAAATAAGATGTTTCCACTCATAACCTGGAAAGAACAGGCAATTTGTCTTCAAAAGTTGCAAGCTGTGGTTATAATCTTGTCGTTACTTAATTTTCTCGAAGAATACCTCATAGCAAAACGGACTTTAACGAGAGTCAATTGTTTTGAAGTGACTGCCGGCAGTTGTCCTCTACTTCACAGCTAGTGAAATTTAAAATTTGCGTACAGAAAGTTATTTCTTATAAAGAACAGAAACTTTCACAGTGCAGTGGAAAACAAAACTATGTAATTAAAAGTGAAGAAAACTCTGACTACTTATAGTATTTGAGCAACAGAAAAATGATTCTTTTCTTCTAGAGTAAGTTTACTGGCCTTCTAGCGGGATTTCCGAGAAACTTTTACGGCGCACAAAATGGTTCTTTGACTGAAGAGAAGGATAAAGCTGGTTCTACAAAGGGAATAAATCTGGGCATGTGAAAAAGTATTTACTAATTTTAAAAAAAAGTGGGTTTTAATTCAGCCGGGCGAAAGAAGGCGAAATCAACTCACAAATAAATCGAATGAACAATCAAAAAATACTCACCTCTTTGGAAATGTTCAAAACTCTTTATTCCACCTCAGACTGACGGAATGATCCGTTTTTCCTTTAACACTGGTTGTTCCGAGTCCAAAGTAATTTTCAAGTCACGAAAAACAAAAACCACACAAAAGTAAAAAGGCTTTTCGAGGAGCAAACGTTCACACCTTGTGCATTTCATTCAGTCTTAGTCAGAACTCTCTCACATGCTCAACACAGTCAACACACAGAAAAGCCCGCCTTGAGCCTGCGATAAAGGATGCGCAGAAGCTTGCGCAGAACGTTTTTCCGCCCTAACCTTTCGGCCGACCCGGGTCTTGTTCTCAGGTCCCGCTCGTGAATTTCATTCTCAGAAGTGTGGAGAAGTGTGTATGTTGAAGATTATACTGTGATGAAAATATCAGGTTGTGTGGCGTTAGTGACAGGTGGAGCTTCAGGGATAGGACGTGGACTTTGTGACGTACTGCTGCAGCGTAACGCCAAGGTAAGCTTATTTATTTCGTTGGATAACCGCGAGCGAATGAAGTAGGGCTACGTACGAACTTTTGGCGAAAGTTGCCTGAAGTCTCTGCTTCAAAGCGGGGCGAACTACGAAGCAATTGATTTGAAAATGATGTTTTATTTATTATTCCCATGCAAATAAAACTCATTTTCACAAGAAAGGTTTTGCATTTAGCAAATGGCCTATTCACCAATGCTATGTGGCAAAAGTCAATTATATGATATGGATATCCGATCTAGCTGGTAGTGATAGTGACTTGTACTGTTAAATGGCGAAATTACGGATTCCTTGTGTTTAAAGCTAAGACTTTCAGTCTTGTTGAAATCGGGCATTGCAAGTTCTAGCTCCCGTCCCTCCTCCCTGGGGGAATTGCCCTAAGTTTTGTCTGTTATCCATATGAGTGTAAACATCAAAAATAACGTCGGAAAAGACTCGACTTTGTTGTTGTTTTTTTTCTCTCTAAAAGTCCAGGCAGCCATGTGATTTCCTGCCAAATAAAACCTTGAGTTACATTTGGGTTGCCATCACCTGTTGATTGAATTATTTTACATTGGTGTGCCTGTGGTGTGGATGAATGGGTCGGTGGGCAAAAGTACGGTCACTTGACTGCCAAAATTTCTCAGATGCATAGGTCACCAAATTTTCTTACCCTTGGTGCTCCGCCGTGTATGCTTCATGCCCATGAGAGCTCTGCTAAAAAAATGGTTGAGGATTGGTTGATTTGCGTAAATAAAGTGTCCATTGTTTAGTTATGTTCACATGGCACCAGAGGAATTTTCAAACTTGCTGATAAATATGACCAGACACTTCATTCACATTATGCTCTCTCTTGACACAGAAGTTGAATGGAAGGTATTGAAATTTTTGCACTGTTCAGGTGGTTCCGTGTGAATGGAACAAATCTGCACAAATTTTCAACACCCAGACAAAAATTTATCCAGTGCTGTGTGAACATGTATATAATCTCACTATAGCTCAACTAAGGAAAGATTTTCACAAAAATTTTACACAAGTTAAGAGAAAGAGCGGATCTGCATGGATCCCCTTTAACACTCCCAGGGGTTTCAATAAGCACTGACGGCCGATGAAACGCGTTGGCTACTTTGCTCGTAGAGGTCAGCTATCATAAAATCTGAATGAAAACGTAATTATGATGTGTTTTCCTAAAGGCCCACTCGTTTCACATTATGCCTTAGTCATAGGAAGGCTATATTTCGGTCATTTTTTCGCAAGTTTCTTTATAGGTTTACGCAAAATTTGTTTATGTGCAAAAGTACGTAATTTAGTTTTCACCAATTTGTTCATTGCTTGTAGGAATTGATTGTGTGACTGATATTGATAAATTGAAAGCTACATTTTCTTGAATGAAAACCAGGCTCTTTTGTCCTCAATTGCATTCCCCAGAATGCTCAAAAAATCACATTTTAGGGCTTTTTTTTTTAGATTTCAAAATTTTCTGAGTTAGAACGTGCCCAGACTGCACCCTCCCCCCAACCCCCCCCACACTGCTGGCTACTTCAATATTTATTGAAACCTGTGCACTCCCTTGGGTATGCCCCTTCAGGCTGCCCTCCCTGAATCTCTGTTTATGACTTTGCGCTGAATTGATTCCTCATAATTTTATGGTTTACAAGGAAATATCATGTTTTGTCGGGCCCGAAAATTATTATTTAAGAGAAAAACGTGAGGTGGGTTTCTTTACTTAAATTCAAATGTGGATTTTTTTTTAATTCAAAGAAGGATAATGCTTCAATTTCCCCAGTAGAATTGCAGAGGCTCAAAATTAGCCAAAATGAAATATTTGCTGAGCTCTGTTTGTGGGTTTTGAAATCAAAACCACGACATTCATAATTTATACGAAGATTCATGACTACAACATTGACTACGACATTGTTTGTGCACATAATGGCGGATTCAAAATTCAAAACTTTATCCTTGGTACCATGCTCCCAACTTCTCCTCATGCACTGGCAAATCATTATGCATGGTTCAGCTGTCGCATATAAAATTTTATTTAATCAAATAATATATTTGTTAATTGATCCAAATAGTAAATATGATCCACAGCCAAGGTGGAGTTCTTAATCCAAAACCGAATACTTTAGATACATGATTTGAGGTGCTTCTTTTATTACTGTGGATCCAAAAAGGGTGAAAATTATTCAGCCAGCTGTAACTATTACTATATAGAAACAGTTTTGATTTATACATCACTACTTTGTCTTTATAATTGTGACAGATCAAAATTAAATTCAGGTTAAAATTATTTAACTTAGGTTGACTCCAATGTCATCTCCTAGCCCTAATTCATGCATAATTAGGGCTAGAAGACAAAGGGAATTGGGAATCAACCTAGGTTGAAAAAATGTAACCTGAATATGATTTTAGCCAGTTACATTACTATGCTGCTCATTTCAAACCTGAGGCAATTTGTGTTAAATGCATCTAAAACTCGATAATACTTCATAACTCAGTGGGTGTAAAACTGCATGATAGTACAAAACGAAGCCAAAAAATTGTTAGTTATGACATCATCCTATGCAAAATTTATGGCAAGGAGAGGGGTGCTTGTTTGATATGGCTTAGGTAGTGGGGCCACCAGAGTGTGGGGCCACTTTGTTGAGAAAATTGTAGTTATAATAATACTTTCTATTTGATTTAGGTTGCTATTGTTGACCTCAATGAAGAAAGAGGCAAGGAAGTAGAGAGAATATTCAGTGAATCTTATGGAACAGGGTGTGCAAGGTTCATTAGATGCGATGTTTCCATTGAGGATGAATTGAAAGGTTTTATATGATGTTCTTACAATTTAGTAATAAAATCAGTATAGCACATGTTTTAGGTGATGAGTTCAGACACTAACATGTGGAAATTCCATCAAGAAGGGGCCAATTTAATAAACCTTTCACAAAGGTTAGTGTAATTTAGAAGTCTGGCTGCTATTGTTTTTGTACTCTAAAACAATAGCCTCTCTTGTGAATTACACTGTTAAAAGTTTCCTTGGTTTGACCCCCAATTATAATTATGTAATATAAGGTAACTTAAAGGTAATCAGTTGATGGTATTAAACACTGGGAAATTGACCCGGTGGTTAATATCCAGATCTTTGAGCAAGTTTTCAGGACCATTGCAGTTTCTTGAAACATTTTAATATTTACTTATTGCTACTTTTCCTTTCCCTTAATGAAGGCTTAATGGGATGCTAGTGCATGCTAGCAGTGCATGTCTTAACATGCATGTGCAGAGAGAACAGTTTAGATAAACAAAGGTGAATAGAACTTCAACTTGACAGAATTAAATAATAACTAATAATAACAATAATAATAGTAATAAAAATAATAATGATAAGTTGATATAAATAATTATGACTTTGTCATATAATAATTTCCTTGCATTCCACATCGTGCATGCTGAACATTATTATTATTATTATTATTATTATTATTATTATTATTATTATTATTTTTATAGAGGCCTTCTCAAGAATTCTCTCTTTGTGGGGAAGACTCGACATTGTTTGCAACAATGCAGCTGTTCTTGATGAAGATGATTGGAGTAAAACTCTAAATACAAACTTGGTAAGTTTAACTGTTCTTTTTATAGCTACATTTCCATTGCAAAGCACAAACAGCATACCCATCAGCCATGTCCCGTACTATCTCCCTTTTCAGTCAGTCAAATAACTGCATGGTCGTCAACTTATTAAAACTGAGTCTGCCACAGCCTATTTTGAGACACTTTACTGAAGTAGTCAAGGCAAGCAAAATTAATAAACATTTCCACTGTAAGCCAGTGATAACCTGTGGGAAGAGGCTGGGTGCAGAATTGTCTATGGACTATTTAAATTCCATAAGGTTTCAGTATACCAGTCTTCACTTTTTTTAACACTTTTCTTTTTACTCGTGAATCCTAACTGAAATCCTACAAAACCAACTTCAAAAAGAGGGCATTAATAGATTGCTAGTCAGTGCTTGACTGCTTTCCTAATTCAGAAATCCAAGCACTATTCAGAAAAGAACAGTGCACGCTAGGCGTGGTAGGATTCTGTATCACGTAGTACGCAGAAAGGAAGGGAGAAACTCCTTGAAGATGTCAGCTTTTTAGGTTACAGCAGCTAGACTTACAAGGTCTGGCCCATTTTTTGCTGATCCTGTTGTTACCAAACTTATCAACCTATTGTTGCGCAGGCAACCCATTTTCCCTGAAGCTAAAAACTCATGTCTGGGTCATTTTTAGCCTGAATTTCATATGATTAAGTACTTCGAGTCGTTATTACTCCCTCAGTAACGTCTGAATCGACCAGCCGTTAATGCCGTGCAATGACGTCACTTCTCCTGTGCTTTAATTCTGTTCATACAAAAAGTAAAACACGATTTTCAAGTGGCAAACCAAGAAATATCGTTGTACATATCGTTATATCGGAGCTCTCGCGCGCGAAGCGCGCCAGCGGAGCACCATGCGTGAGAAAATGAAGTAATCTACCCATTCGAGAAAATTTGGTAACCACGTGAACGTAAACCGAGCGCCCGAGCCACCGTCCGTCCGCACCACAGGCATACCAATGTAAAATAACTCAATCAACAGGTATAGCAACCCAAATGCAACTGGAGGTTATTTTGGCGGGAAATCCCATAGCCACCGGCGTCCTTGTAAAGCAGAGACAACTAAAGAGTCAATAAAGACGAAAACGGAAAGCGGAAATTGTTTCTGTATCCGTGTTGTCTAAAGTATTTAGCTTAGATTAATAGTCATGTCCGCAAATTTGGAATATAGAGCAGGAGAAAGACAGAGAAAAAGAGAAAGTAGGCGGCAAGCTCAACGAGGTAAAGGGCGACAGAGATCTAGAGCGAGAGATAGAAAATAAATGAGACAATTTTTTGTTGAAAGAACAACATGCAAATTTTGTTGCGGCGGTGACAAAATGAGAAATGCTAGCCGCCACCATTGCAAGGTGAAAATAAGCAGCAGTGAAAAAAAGGGAACGAGAACATGTATGATATTCCCTCCATAACACGTGTGACTAAGAAGTTTCTGGAAGTTTCATTTTGTAGTCGTGCAAAACTACGGCAAAGAAATGTACAAAAAAAGTGTGCTGCACGTACAAAGTTGCTTTTTTTTGGCTAATTAGACCTATTGTTGTTTTTCACCGTTCTCCGGAATTGCCTTCGCCGCCTAGCATTACACGATTTTACATTTTGTTTGAACAAACTATAAATATTATTCAGAGCTTCGCTTTTAGCCCTGGCTAAATCTATTTAGTATATACTAAAACAGTGGATAGTGTTTTTCGGGCGCTCTGATTGGCTACTTAATCAGTGGATATCCTGCACTATTCACTGATTCACCTCCCGTTCCTCCGAGCGAGCGACGCCTAACTCGCGTAGGTTGCGAGCAAAATGCTTTCCCGGTTTGCTGCCGTAACAAACTAAGAAATTTCACAACTAATCAAGCAAGCTATTTCCGAAATACATGAAGAAGGTGACGAAGTTCGGTTTGGAAGTTTTATCAGGTAAAGCTTTGTCTTTTTGACTTGAATACTTATCGATAAAACCGGTGAAAAAGTTTTTCGTTTACAAATGCAAATTAAGCTTAACTCTTGCGTTACCTTATTTAGTTGACTTGTTCATAAATAAGCTTAAAACTAAATTTAATAATCTTTTTTACAGCAAAGGGGAGTTCATGATCCCGTTTCACGTACAAATTTTGACAAATTTCACGTATCACGTGAGTTATAAACCTATTTTTACGAGTCATGAATGTCACCTGCTAATCAAAGGGGTTAAAAACCAAAGACAGTCATCATGGACCCCGATTCGCATTTTATTTGACGATCAGAATGTCGGTGGGGCGATCTTAAAGGGCGTTAACGAGCAGTCGTGGATGTGGGAAACTGGTGTCTCCAGGCATGCGTTCAAATTGAAAACACGTTAACGCCCCCGATGTGACTTTTTATTTTCTTTTAACAAGCTAATGACTGAAGCCTCTGTGGCAAGCGCAGGTTAGTTTTTTGGTTAGTTTTACTCCTTTTCTCCCTTCGAGCGCGCGTGTGCCCTAGAAATTTCTCCCTTCGCCCTAACAAAACTGGTGCCTTCTGTGCAAGCTACAGCGAGTGTGACCTCCGAGGCCTTTCGTTAGGGTAATTCACTCGTTTTAACACGAAAACGAAGCAACACGAGGATTGCCGAAGTGGACAATACTTAATCCCAAAGGTCACTGTTAGGGTCTGGTCTTTAGGTAGTATTTATCAACCACGACAAACGTAACGCAAATATTAAAACCAACGGCCCTGTTCAATTTATCTGTCCTATATCATTGATTTTTACGAAATGCGACAAATTATTCACGAGTCCCGCACACATTATAAGATTTATACTACTACATCAGAAATTTCTGCAATTTGATTGGCTTAGAGCAGTGGTATTTCAGCTTAATTTGAAATACCTACATGTGAAAATCACAAACCTTTTGTGGGTAGTATAGTATAAACAAATAATAGCACGATTTGTACGTGATATTTGGTATAAATAACACTTGTGATATTTCAAAATTGTCTCAAATTACGTACAACAATTTCGAAATATCACTCGTGGTATTTATGACAAATATCAGTACAAATCATGCTATTACCTATACAAATCACACTTCACATGCATAACTGGTTTCACGGATCACGTTCTTTTTTGGGAACTTTCACGCGTCACTCTCTCTGCTACTCTCTTCGCATAAACAAAATCACCGCGGAAACCACAAAGCGGTTCTAAATGAAAATCCTACCGACCCTCCGCAACGATCTCATTCGCGATTCAATTTAGCGATTCAGTTTCGAAGACAAGGGCAATTTTTCTGTTTACGATATTAAAAGATTATCGACTTGTTTGAACTCCACGCAAGAATGCCAGGGATGCGATCCGCTGAATATCAACGACAATCGCGCTAAAATGTATCATAATTATGCGAACGTTTAGACAATCAACCAATCAAAATCACTACCCGGTTTTCGGGTAGTGATGTCACTGGACGGCATTAACGGCCGGTCGCCTCAGACGTTGCTGAGAGGAGAAAACGACTCGAAGCAATCGGATGAAATTCAAGCTAGGTCATTTTAGGCGTTACCACATTTGTGTACAAAACGATCAGGAGAGTTCTCTAGAAGCACCAGCGAACACCAAAAATCACCATCTATATAGTCATCACGGAAAGGGCCAACTACTCAAAGAAAATATTATTTTAAAGGAGAATACAAAAAATCGACTGTGTGTTGTATAATTATTTTGTTTCTCGACACTTTGTTTGATGAAAAGAGATGCTTAATACAAAATAAAGCAAAATTGATGTGGGTCCAAAAAGGCGGCATCCTCATGGCTAAAATTCTTTCCATGATCGCTAGAAGTTCACTAAAATGAAAGTTTTAGGGGCCCCCACATTAAAAATTACCCCGGGGGTATCCCTAGATTCCTCCAATAGAAAGGGGGTGACCCCCTCTTGCATATCTACCTCTACATGTGCATGAATGCCTTTCAATCTTATCAGATGGGACCCTGATCGTACTCCTGGTGTGGGCTTACAAGTTGCCTACTGAACATCAGTTTAACTGTCACCAACAGTCTTGTGCTGTTCATACTGTTTATGGTAATTAACTGGGACCAGTTGCAAAAAGCCTAAGGTATACCTGCCATCTTTTCCCATGTAAAATGCGACTGATTTTCCTATCCATGTTTAACTAAATCTCTGAAAAAGCCTGACAGCTTTGGAACAGTTCCGAAGACATTCCGACGTCTTCTGGACATTACCGAAGATGTTCCGATGATTTTCGAAGGTCAGCGTTTGCAGCGCTTAGAAGCGTCAAATCTCGGCACCATCTTGCCGAGATCACCTATATCTTAAAACCGAGAGGAGGTATCGTGAGACGTTAACTTATTGCTTAGGGCTCAAACGTGACATGTAGCACCGTTCACTGGGCTATTTTTGGTGGTGATTGAATTCATTTGTTCACGTTGAAGGTCACTGGACAAGTTGTCCACAAATATGAGTCTGCTTAAGTTTGGAGTTTAAATAAGGGGTTTGACTGAGCTGAATGTTAGATTTTCTGCAACTCGCCCCAGCAAGATTGTTACTCCAGGTTGGAGTGGTATTTAACTGATGTCTATCTCTTTTTGTTGGCAAAAATATTTAGGGTGGTGCCATTCATGGAACTCTTCTTGGTCTGGAACACATGAAGAGCGGATCTGTCATAATAAACACATCATCAACTGCAGGTACAGATCAGCGTAGAACCAACCGACTTCATTGAACTGAACTGAACTTAGAAGAAGGAAAGATTTTAAAAGAAAGGTCTCATACATACTGTTACAGTGGAACCTGTATAAGCTCGGTATAAAGTTACCCACCCCCCCTTAAATTAAGGGGGCAGTTTTCACGTTTTCATGTTGGTCTTTCTTAGTTGAGATTTTTCCTGTGTTCGTCTTTGTTACTTTTACCGTGCGTTGGCCGCAGAACTACAACTTCAAGTCTTAGAAATACAGTGAATGTACTGTCTACTTTTTTAACTTAGTGAGCTAGACTACAATAATTTATGCTACCTGTATTTTTTCATAATGTCACGTTTATTCCACCGTTACAGTTTCAAGCCAGCAATTTTGTTGAAAATATAGCTATATTAACATTCACTTCACTGATAAGCGATTGGTGAGGATGCTTGTCGAGCCCCCGGCCTCATGATATTGTCATAAGTCGTAATATGTGCAAGTTTACAGCTTTAAGTGCCGTTTCCCTTTTCGCATTCAAGTCAGGTTTTAAAAACGTTTGTAAGAGATGCAAGAAGAACCATCAGCTTACCAAACAATTCGAACGGTAAGGCGTCGCGCTTGTAATTGAGTTAACAATTCGGTCGAGAAACGATCCCCTGAATTATTTTTTAGACAATGGATACTGGCGAGGAATAATTACAATAAAAAAAAAACACAAACGAATAGCGAAATTATCAGTGCATTTAACTGGTATATGTCATATCTTGATCTTTAGTTCATGACTTTTTTCCTTTGACAGGCCTTTCGGCTTGGAAACTTGCTCCTGTGTACTGTGCCACCAAGCACGGGATTGTAGCCTTTACTAGAAGTATTTCAGATGTGAGTTTGTCTCTGAAATATTGTTGCAGAACATTCTTTTTCTTTTAGAGTAACTGTCAATGTATTGAGAAAAAGGTTTGATTTGCTTTCGAATTGCTCCCGCTTGGTGATTGGTCAAACTAAAACGTGCATCTTTATGAACCAATCAAATGAAACCAAGGTCAGCAGATTGTTCACCAGTAAGAGTGTTCCTGCGCTTAGCCCCTTCCACACTACATCAGATAAATTTGAAAGCACTGCGTTATTCTTACAGGCCTACCGTCTTCACTAATCCAGGTAAACTGTCCACCGAAAGCGGATGAATAGTGGATGAATATGACTTCAATTTAAAATACCTGCTTTGCGTTTTAGTGTCAATGGAAAACTTTTTGCAGAACGCAACTTTTTGAAAACGCTGACGTCTCCAGCAACGTTGCGTTTCCAGATTTATAGACATTTCTTTGCACGTCTTAGGCAAAAGTGTGGACGAAAAACATTTTATGCGTCAGTGTGCACGGGGCGTAAGCTAAAACAAACAAAAAACGCTCACTCTGTGCTGAAATGTGACAAGAACTGTACCTCTTAAACCCCGTTTACATTACGTTTAAATTAGATCAATTTAGGTTTCCGGGAAACTGTCCACCCAACCCTCCCCTAAGCCATCATTTTGCCCTAAGCGAGAAGTTGAGTGTTAATGTTAGCTTAGGGGAGGGGTAGGTGGGCAGTTTCCCAGATACCTAAATTGATCCGACAAATTTTTGAAGGGACGAATTTTTCCCCTGTACAACACGTTCCGCACGGAACCATGCAAATTCTGTCACAGATTGCTGTACTGTACTGTTTGCCGTTCAAATACTTACACAGATCCGCGGATCCCGTGTAAGCGAATAGCGGGTTTTTTCCTTTTTAAAAAATTTTGTCCGCACCCATGTAAACGGGTCTCAAGAAAGGCTGTTAATTACATTTGTAAGGATTAGTTCAGTCGGTAGAGCGCTTGACCGGAGCAATACTCAGGGTCTTACAATAACTGAGAAATGAAGGTACTCCCTTTGCACTGCAGCTGCGGCTGGACCTTCGCGTGGCTCCAGTAGGAGACGTAAAATTAGTGTCCCCAATTAGTACTTCCGTGCTAAATGCACTGACACTCAAATAAAGCGTTTGTTTTTATTTAATTTATTTTTTTTATAGCCGTCACTTTTACTCGTTGAAATTTGTTCATTGTTTTTTGCCTTCAAGACAATTGCGACGGCTATACGCGTGTACTGCAAACGAATCCACCCTAAGAGTTAACGAAAATTATTCCCACTAACGAACCTCTTCTTCTCTTTTTGTCAATGAAGGCAGCTATGAGAGACCAAGGAATCCGTGTGAACTGTATCTGCCCTGGAAGGAAGGACACTGAAATGGACTTTCCTAGACACAAACTAAGAAAGAAGGAAATTGAAGCACAAGATAGCCTCCCCAAACAACCGTAAGTTTGTCAGAATTAGTTTAATTCAGCTTTTTTCTAGCTGTTCCTTGCGTAACTTTTTGTTTTGTTTTTCCTAAGCTGGAAATAACTATATTTTGAAACATTTAGAATTGATTAAATACTACCATTAACCCGTTGCGGAGGTATATAATGCCACTCGTATGGGCATGCGTAGAGAGTTCTTCGGGTCTATGCTTCAGTAACACAGAGAACAGAACACAGAAGCTTCTACTAAAAAAGGTCATAAAACGACTTTAAAGTAAAAAGTTTTAAACAACGTGAAAATGTTTAACTCAAGGATTGGGAGCTTTGGTATAATCCTAACTTTTGTTTTTTGTTTTGTTTTGTTTTTAATAGGATTTCTGCTGTTACCAAGGGCATCATCGAACTAATTGAGGACGACACTAAAATAGGAGAGGTTTTAGTTGTGTGTGAGACGGATGGAACCAAGTACAAGCAGTTTTAGATACATTGGATTCAATAAGGTACGTTTCCTTCTGCGTTGAAGGCAAATTGGCTTAGTTTGAGCGATTTCTGAGTGCATCTGGCACTGGCCAGTACTTTGAAAATTAATATTGGAGATGGTAAGGAGTTATGGTGAGACTGTAACACTTGAAAGTTATAATGGGCACTGATAAACTTGTGGTCCTCAAATAAATAGCGGAAATCCTCTATTTAGCTCACCCCTCTGAAATAAGCCCTCTCCCCTCCTAGCCTCGGGAGAAGCAGCTTATTACGCCCCCTCTCTTTAAGCCCTCCTTCCCCTCCCCCCACATTATTAAATGATAGACTGTATTAATTAATCACGAATGTAACACTTCATTTTGGACAGATCGCGTATGGTTCTGATTGAAGTGCTGGGAGTTTTTGATCTTCAAATTAACTCCTATCAGATTTTATGTGCCCGAACTTTTCCACTTTTTGCTCTCGTTCTTTTTGACAATTGATACCATCATCTTTGCCAAATTTAATAAACTCCCTTCTCTCAAATGAGACCCCCGTCTCTACTATCCCCCCCCCACCGCTGAAACCTGACCCCGAGGGCGTAGAGTTTTTACATGCTGTGGTATTTTCAACTCCTTTGTCGATTTATGAGCAAATATCCTGTCTCATATTTCGGTATACAATTTAACCCAATTTACGAACGCCCGCTTGATACGGAAGCCTCATTGTTACGGACATTTTGCTTTGTCCCTGGGGAAAAAAGCCTTTAAATTTTGTTTATTTAACTTTAGAAAGTTCAACCAACCCACTTAAGGGGACACCCAGTTAGTACGGACACTTTCTCTGGCCCGCTCAGTGGCCATATTAACGGGGTTTGATTGTATTACATGGAAACACTGTTTCACAAGCTTGTAAGGATAGAGAGCTTAGAGCTCTGACTTCGATAGTCCGGACATCAACCGGAAGTTGTTTTCGTAATATTACCACATACGTTTTGTGACGTCAGCGCTTTATGCAAGGAACATTTTAAAAAAATGCCGGAGTTCTCTTGGAAGAGGTGAAAGTGTACCCTGAAACAAAGCTTGCCTGGAACTTCTGGTTGCTGTTCGTGCCTCTGGTAAGTCAAAGTTCTCGGTGTTAAGAACATTGCGCCCAGTGATTGTTATAAGTACATAGTTAGACTTTTTCTTGTTATAATACAAGCAGGCTCTTTGTAGTCAGTCTTCTGAGTGGTCTGGGCAAGTGAGGATGGACAGGTTCAACCACGAGATCGGAAAAAGCAATCAAATAAGCAAACAGATGACCTTTAGCTTGTAATAGCCCTTTTCACTGTCATGATCAGCACCTATATTGGTTTGAAGAAACAAAAAAATGAAGTGGTACATAAAGAAAGAATTTGATTATTTCATGTTTGGTACGGTACACCAATATGGCCACCACTTCACTGCACGGAAAAATTACGCCACAGTGGAAATCTACCTTAACTGACTGACTTGCTGACTGAGTAATGGACGATCTCACGATCTTCATCTTTTTACCCATAGCCCTTCTCTCTCCGGGGGAACACTCGCCGACCAACAAGCTTAAGACATTAGACTACGCCGGAGATGGCCACCATCTTGAGAAATAGGTTCTACCATTATACATGTACAATTGCACTTTCTTTTTTTTTCTTGCAGGAGTAAACCATTTTGCACCAGATGCTCATGCTGCGGTCGGTTATCATAGCTGATCACAAGAGAGAATGGAATGAACAGAAAAAGGAAGAATGAAAGAGTAGAACGAATAGAATAGAATAGAGAGAATGCTGATCACCAATGCAGCTCTAACTAGTAACTGCTGTAGAGAAAACTACGAAGTGAGGAGTCCATGTATTTGACATTCATCCAGAACGTTAGGAATTGTAACAAGCCCTTGTGTGCTGTAACGTTAAGTAAACAGTAAAGACGAGAAAGGCAGAAATACTTTAAGATTCGATCTTAGGATATTGCAAAAGTTGCGCGTTGTACTGGAATTTATCTTTCTTAACGTAACCAGCACTGAAAGGAAACATGTTAATACACGTCGAATTATTAAGGCTAGATAGTGATTTAAGTATTTTAGATAAGAAAAGACGAAGCAGGAGTTTACAATGGCGAGCTGAAGTTGGCGAGCCATTGTAAATCCCAGATCCGGATCGATCCATAAAATTCGTTGAATTAAAACAGTCACACCGAAGCGATCTGCATCAAAAGTTAGTGAATATTGATTCGCTGGGTAGGAGTTTGCATAAAAGGTTTTTACTGTTTAGTATATAATAATCCCAGTTAATTTGCATGAAGTTTTAAAGCTAGAGCCCGGGAGGGGGGAGGGGGTGTACTTGAGTTAATTTTTGCTGGGTATGTGCCGCTAGCCTCTCAGAGCCCTTACCCCATTGTAGTCTATTCTGTTTCCAATTATAGACCCCATCTTAGTCACTTTTAGGCAAATGTGTAATTTTCGCGATCCCAACTTAGTCACTTTCTATTTATCCCAACTTAGTCACTTTCTATTTATGCATCTACTTTACTTTTCACCTACAGTACAAACATTGTGGTACGTTTGCTAACCGTAAATGTGAAAAACTGTCTTACCCCAAAAATCAGAAAATGTGCGACCCCATTCTAGTAACTCTATCGAAAATGCGACCCCAGTGTAGTCACTCCAGTCGTGAAAATGCGACCCCATCTAGCGGCACATCCCCATTAGCCTCCTCTTATAAGGAAGTACCCCCCCCGGAGCTAGAAGTGCATGCACAAATCAGCAGTCAAAATCAACAACAAAATGACCGAAGCTTGTCCGTTTTACACTGGAGTTAAGCAAGGTTGTATGTTATCACCCACCCTTTTTAATCTCTATCTAAGTGATCTACCCGAATTTTTAAATTCACCAAGCTCAACCGATATTCTGCTTGATTACTCTGAAAGACCTATAAACACTCCTCAACAAGTTGGAATCCTACTGCGAGAAAACTGAACTATCTGTAAATCTAGAAAAAACAAAAGTCATGATCTTTAATAATTGTGGCAAGTCCTTAAATAACTACTCGTTTAAGTATGGAGTAAATAAACTAAACAATGTTAAATCTTATAAAGATCTTGGAATGACACTGAACCCGTATGAAAAAGTTGGTTTAGCTAGAGAAGAGTTCAAAAAAGTTGTACTTAAGGCACTTTATAAACTAAGAAAAGAGGTGGGTGACAACTTTAGAGCAAATATTATGTTGAGAATTAAGCTATTCGATGTTCTGATATCCCCCATACCTCTCTACGTAAGTGAAATTTGGGTTGTTGACTCTAACGACCAAATAGAAAAAGATCCCGCAGAATTAGTTCAAATTAAATTCTTGAAATGGTTGCTAGGTGTTAATAAGTACTGCAGCAACAATGTATGTAGGGCTGAAACAGGAAGATTCCCAATAAAAATCGAAGCACAATATAGGAATTTTAAGTTTTGGATAACTCTAACCAAACACCCAAAACACAAATTATCACAGGTGGTTTATAATGATATGAAGTCGAGGATGAATAAGGAATTATGGAGCCAAAAAATCAAACGCGTATGAGATCAAATAGGGTCAGAATACCTCTGGACAAAAGCACATGAAAATGACATAGGAATCTTGAACATTATCAAACAAAGACTGAAAGACATCGAATTACAAAGATGGTTAAGGGACGTAAACAATGACGTAAGAAAAGACGCCAACCAACAGAACTAAGTAAGAACCTTCCAAAAATTTAAAACAATAGAAAATTATAAATGTGAAGATTATCTCCGTCAGGTCACCAACATCCGACACCGGATAACTAACTAAACTCCGTCTAAGTAATCACAAATTGGCGATAGAGACAGGTCGGTATGTAAGACCTTATAAGAAACCGGAAGAGAGGATCTGTCCTATCTGTAAAAAAGACGTAGAAGATGAAATACACTTTTTAACTCTGTGCCCTGCGTATCAAGAAGAAAGAAGTACTTTATTTGAATAATACCGAATATCAGTAAACAGAATGGCACCAGATGATGTTTTTCTGTTGTTAATAAACCCTCCGAGCAAGAACAAACCAGTGCAAAAGTTGATTGCAAAATACGTATTCGACTGCTATGAGAAAAGAAGATCATTAGCTCTTTAGGTTAACATTAATTATAGTTCCACTAGTGTGCAATTTGTGTTATGATTTTAAGTTATTTGGATAAAGTCGATGTACATAGGACTGCATAAGACTCCAAATAAAGCATTGTCTTTTCTTGTCTTGTCTTGTCTTGCACATGTGACTCAAATACTACCTATTGATTGGCCATTATAGTTTTGATGAATAACTAATGAATTTTATAACTTGAGCAAATGTACTCAAGGTGTTCAGTAACATTTATGGTTAGTTTTTTACAACTCTATCAAAGAAATTTGAGTCTGCCGTTATAGAATGATTTTACTTGACCCGTGAAATAGGGAGTAGAATACTAGAGATCTGTCATATAACTCCAACTAGAGCAACTATAGTGCAAAAGTGTACTAAATGTGTAAAATACGCGAGGTGTTTTCCCATGGGTAACTTTCATTCATTCATTCATTCATTGATTTTTCCATTTACCAGAAATACAACAAAATTATACAGAAAAACATTAAAGATAATATACAATATTCCAACTAAATTATTTACAAGATCAAATGTGGTAAAGGCAAGGAAGTCTATATTATATATAGAAGCCGGGGGCTTATAAACTATAGGCTTCCTGGAACTATAGGGTAAACCATACAAGTTAAGGGTACTGAATGAAACTTTGGATTAATAAAAAAAAAAAAAAAAAGAAGAGAAAAAAGAAAAGGTGTGCAGCTCAACAAAGAGTCAATTTAACTAAGAAAGAAGGAATTTTTTAAGTCTTTTGCCAAACAAACTGATACTTTCACTGTTTTGAATTTCCCGACTTAGCGAGTTGAAAAACGTAGGACCTTGAAACCGAATTGAGAACTTGTCCTTTATTTGCGGCAGGCACGAATAGAACCATCAAGTAAAAGACGATTTGTGTGGCAAAAATCATTTTATTTTCAGCGTTTTCGCTTACAAATACTATCAGCTGAAAAAAATGAACAAAAGCAAATTTACAGTTCAATGTTTAGTCCTCGTCGCTACTGTCGCTATCGAATTTATCTAGGATGCGTTTTATTTTACTCATCATTTTCACAGCCTTGCCTTGCCGTGCGGGATTCGCTTCCTCCTGGGAGATCAGCATCGGCATCGGTGCCTGAACTATCTTCGTCAAGACATGCTGCCTGGCTAAATTTCGCAGATTTTCGCTCTTCTGGTGACTTATATTGCGTATCGCATCCTGTTATCCACAATAGTCTGTGACATCGCCGTCTTGTTTGTACTTGTCGTGGCAGTCAGCTGTTTAGCTTTTTGGAGGTGTTGGAAAACAATTCGTGTCATTAATCCTTTTGATCAATGATTCTCTTGGGGTAGAACGATAGTATGCCCTGATGCTTTCGTTCTTCGTAAAATTTCCAGCCGGTAAATGTTTTGATGATGTATGATGACCGATATTGAAAAATGGAAACACACGTGAGTTGCAATATATGTCTCTGCAAAAAGTAATTTGCAGATAAAGCAAAATAAAAATCTTTCAAAAACTGGATTCTTTTGATCCTTCAGTCTTACTACGAATAAATGCCGTTGAGTTTTCAAAAAAATGTCAGGGGGAAAATTGGGAAAATGTCGGCATCTTAAAGCGTTTGCAAAAAAGAAGTGCATTTTCCGTCTACTTTAAGTATCTTTTAAAGCCCCGCCCAGGTTTTATTTTTTAAAACTTCGTCTACGATCTTTAACTCGCTGATAAAAAAAATATATATATATTCACGCTGCACTGCCCCATAAATGCCGCGAGGCCGCATAGGGATGAACAGACAAAGAAAACAGAAAGCTTACCCGTGCGTCGAAAAGATCATTACATATTTTGTGGATCTTTCTGCTACTGTGACTCATTAGCACATGGTGTTGAAGTTATGTGAAAGATCTCTACTAGGCACTATTATACACCAATTCCGTTATCTTCTTTTGTTTATCTGTGGCTATTTTTCACTATTTGTTGTTATCTGTTTCACGGTTGAAGTAAAATCACTCTAACTTGCTCTCCGACCAAACACTGTTTCGTGCCGTATGTATTTCCTTGTCTTCAATTGAGGCGCACCTCAATAGAAGTTTTAAGCTTTTGCTCTACGCCAGATTCTTTCGCGTAAAAGCACGTTCTTATGTAATGTAGCGGAGGTTAAACTCAATAGCGCGTTTCCTTCGATTCGAGTTCCCATCTAAAACCTTGACAATACAGTAAAAACCTGCGAGTACGAACCTGAAATTTCCCTAGTTAGCCCAAAAGTAGGCTATTTAGTTTCTTAAATAAGTTATAAGTTTCCGAAGAACAAAACCAAAAAGCTTACTAAGTGAATGTTGACTAATATCTTATTTGCCCTAGTGAAAAGAATTTTTGCATAGATTAAAAAAAAAGAGGAACCTGTTTCAAATTATTTTTAGGTTAAACGGGTTCTTCCATAGAGGTGGCCTGACTGGCAAATCTTAACAGATCTTAAAAGCCCTGTTCTTACTCGCAGGTCCTTTCTGCATTTCATTTGAAAAGTATAATTATTGCTCGTTGTTTATGTGCTTTAGACACAGTGTGCACGCACGCGGGGCGAAGGTTTCTCGCTTGACCTACAAGGCCATAATTAAAAAAAAAAATTCCATCACGCAATCAGAATGACAAATTTGTTTGTCTCTACGACCACTATAAAGCCCTTGACAAAGTTTGCCTTTATAAATTAGGAAACTCGTTCACAGCTGAAACAAGAATTATTATTAGCTATTATTACAAAAAAGAAACCTTTAAAGATTAGCAAGGTTTAACAAAATTTGGCCGAAATTAAACTAACTAACTAGCTAAATAATTATATATTAAAGGTTCGTTATTATTATGATGGGACTTTCAGTTTCTCCCCAGGGATTTTTACGTACATTGCTAAATACCAAATGTATTGCCGCGTATTTTCATATAATTGAGTCTGTGTAATAATTCTTTCGCATATTTACGTCAGTGCGTCTTTTGTATATAACATCCTTATTACACATACGTTTTTTAAAGAAGGTGTTGATTTTCATTTGAACTCCATTGGTGTAAACTTTTAGTTCGCAGCTCTTATGTATCCTTCTACAACCTCGGTGCTTGTTCATCATCAAGCATAATCTCTTCAATTTGCGGAATTTATAATGCAGCAGTCGCGTTCAATGATGCATTACAAATTATAATTTCTTCAGACATGGCAAGACACAAGCTGTGTAAAAGATAAAGGTCGTTTTAGAAGAGCAAAAAGTGAGCCTACAAAAGCAACTGCATCTAAAAAGAACACACCCCACTATAGGACGATTTCAAAGGTAGCGTTTGTGGCAGGAGTCGAAAAGGCAATGCAAGGGGAGGAAGGGTTTTGAGAATGTTTGCTTTCTCTTGACTTTCCATATGTTTTTCTTACCAGTCATATTTGCAAAAACTCTGCATGATCTATGTTTCACTGTCACTGAGTATATTAAGGACAATGAAGTTCAGGTTGATCGCATCTATCAATCATTTAATCTAATTACATTTTAAGCATAACTTATGGCAATTATTAATATTGCCAACACGAAAACGTCATATTAAACTATCTATGTTTAAATCAACGCAGGGTTAATCACGTACCAGGCAATGTCGTCAGATAGTAATATTAATATGAAGCTCTTAATGGTTGCACTGATACTTTGTCTGGCGTTCGTTGGAGATGGTAAGTTTGCACTGAATTGCACCCAAAGAAAATCCCAGCTTAATTTCCAACCAACTAAGTATTTCACGCAGACAGGACCTGCACTAAAGTGATCATCTCTGCTGAGTGCCTTCTACCTTCATCACAATTTAAGACTTAGAACTTGCACTGATGCCACTAGGGAAGATTTGGCCGGAAAATGCAGTATAAATTAGCGATCAGGTGCTATTTTCGTTTCGCCGAGTAAACAAAATCTGGAAGCGCAAGAGAACTGCTGTGAGAGCGGCGCTAAAATTCTGCGCTGATCGCAGGTTAACTCAGAGTTATGTAGTTATAGAGACCATTGCTTTAGCACTTTTACTTGAAGGACATTCAGGGGTGCATATTGAAGCCACGTTCATAGTTCATGAATAACATATATAAGAAGCATTACATATTAAAACCGAAAAATTCAAAGGATAGGCCTTCAAATTCAAATAGGCCACTTGCACGAAGAGGACACGTAACCAATGCTTCCTTTAAACAATGAGTTGTAATCTTGCTGATGCCAAAAATTGACAGTGCACACAAAAATTATTTTACACCCGAAATTTGAGAGGAAACAAAGTAGTATGATTTGTTGATTGGCCGCCATGTTGGAGGGCAAGAGTGGCGGCCAAAACGACTTTTTGCTTATATCTTGTTAAACGTTTGATAGTTACGCTCAGATGTACTGTAAACGTTACCACGTTTTCAACATTTCCTCGAAGTTTAAGTGCAAAATTTGTTGTTAGGAAGAGGTAGTTCATAATTTTAAAAATCACATTTTGGTCACGTGACCAGCTACGAGCCTACTCATTTTAAGAAAATGGTGCGGGTTTGAAAAATCAAATCACTATTATTTTGTTTAAGATATGACCCACTAATCGTTTTTTGAAGCCAAAAAGTTAAAAAGGATGTCACATGACCTCTTAGGTAAATGCAAATGGCTTATTCCATCTAAAAAGCTAAACTTGCAAATTGGTATGAAAATAGATTTCCATCAAAGTAATTAAGTTAAATTATGTACAGTCAACTCACAAAGGGCTAGAGCTCGAAAGCTTTTACGCTTTTAAAACTTTTGTGTCATTTAATCTTATCATCTCAGTTGATATTTAACATATTTTTTTGGTCAGTTGTTGAGACCGCGATATAAGGTAGTCGGCGGGCTCAAAAACCTGTTTAAGACTCAGTGTGTTATACGTTAATGTTTTCTTTGGTCTTGACACTTTTCGCGGAAAGCAGGGTCAAAATTTAAAGGTTGCTCAAACTGAGATTGGTTTAGTCAACAGGACGCAGTTTCGTTAAGCTATAGGTGAGACCCGCTTTTTCAGTTACCGTACCTAATACTGTACAAAGATGCCCTCAAACGAGGCAGGAAATCATATATTGGATGTAGTATTCAGGGTAAAGATTAGAGTTTCTAAAAAAGTCAGCTTTTCCGAAAACAACACATCCCTATCGTCTTGGTAACACCATTGCCTTTTCTACATTTCCTCATTTTTGGGAAAATCGAGGCATTCGTTATAAAAGCTTTCAACGAGACTTGTAATTCATATAATTATCTTACGTTATTTAAGTTGTACCAATTTTTTTTAGTGCATCTTTAATTGAGAGAGCTCTGGTTGGTTATTTTTCTGCTCCAACGAAATCAATAATAAAGAAACGTATTCTCCAAAACCGATGTGAAACGGTGTTCGCAGGAAGTAAACTTTGACATTTTATACTACCACGTGAGAAATTACTGCAATTTGATTGGCTTAGAGCAGTGGCATTTCAGCTTAATTTGAAATACCTACAAGTGAAAAATACAAACCTTTTGCGGGTAGTAGTATAAACAAATAAGAGCATGATTTGTACGTGATATTTGGCATAAATACCACTCTTGATATTTCAAAATTGTCTCAAATTTCATTCGCCTAACGGCTCGTGAAATTACGTATAACAATTTTGAAATATCAATCGTGGTATTTATGCCAAACATCCCTGCTAATCATGCTATTACCTATGCAAATTGTTTTTACAGTTTCCACACTTAAAAGAATGTTTTTAAGCACTTCTAGTCAAATTAAAAAACAACTTGAATTCAAAGCCAGCGGTTTTTCCTCTAAATCTTCTGATAGTTTTGTTATTGTTACCTTGCAAGTAAACAGTAAAATGAGTTATGACAAAAAGATGAAGTAAAACTTTTGATTACGTTTCACAGTGTTGGAAATAGGATAAAGAGCTTTCTTTCGTTTTTATTTTTAAGATATCTAATTCTGAAACCACTAAAAACAGATTGCACCAAAGTTTACTTCCCACGGAAAAGGTGCTAAAAATGTCTGTTTAAGGAAGAGCATTGTTTGTGATTCGTTTCGTTGTTGAAGCCAAACGTTCTCATAAAAAAAAAGAAAGAAAAGTGGAGCAACTCAAGATAATTATATGAACTACAAGTTCTGATTATAAAAAGTTCCAGAAACTTGTAGGTTTCTTACAAATTGAGACAATGTAAAAATGCAAGAGCATCACCGTGTTTCCATGGATACGTTGTTCTCAAAACTGACAATTTTTGAAACTCTAATCTATACCCTAGAAATGAATACAATTTGTATTTCGAGTTCGAAGCCGAGAGTTAGGTATACTTACTAAAAAGCAAGGTCGAACCAACTTAAACACAAGGCGAACTCGATGTTCAAACAAACGACCACAATATGGAATTTCGACCAGACTACAATATTTGAACTGTATTAAGCTATATTAAGCGAAGAATGATTCTTGGAGTAACTAACGTAGTGAAACGAACCCTGTGTTCATGAAAAAAACCGTGAAGGCACCGAGCGTGAACTCGAGGCGAGACTAACAAACTCAGAGTCCCGTTGATGTTGGGTGTTTTGATGGTGAGAGGATCTTCGTTTCAGGATGTTTTGTTATCTAAAAAGAATAAAGTGTTGGTCTTTTTCTGTTTTGTAATTAACCTAGCTAGTAACATGATATAAAGTGATAAGTGATAAGTGAGTGATATAAAGCTTTAAGAATTGCACAACTAGTAGAAACATTTGACTTTGACTTAAGTTTGCTTCTGTCAACCTGACGAATCTTCTATAAGTTTCAAGGAAGTGATGCTCAGAACCTTTTCGCACTTTCGAATTAAAGTTTTATCAAAACTAATATCTGCATGACCTACGAGGATGGAGCGTTCGCTCGTGTCGGCCCTTTCCTGTGGAACACTCCGGCTTCCTGTAGGTATTTAGGAGCATCCGGAATATTCAGGGTTTTTGCCGGGCTCGAAATCTCTCGAAACCTCGTCCCTGAAGGAATTTGCGTTGCTTAACCCATTCGTCCCTGGAAATTTTGCTGGTCACTGTCACTGTCGAGCTATAAAGAGCTACAACTTACCATGAAGCCATCTACAGGTCGTACACTTCGCGGATTTCTGAACCAGATGTAAAATATTAGCTTGCGACGTTCGTTTTTTCGCCTTCTAGCCTCACTTTTTTTCTTTTGCTGGGCGTTTAGTAGCCTTTATTTTGGTAGGAAAAGGTTTAAGGAAAGGTTTTAGGATCTTAGAATTAGATAAAAGGAAAGGAGGGGCAAGTGGAACAAGATTTTCATGGAAATTTTCAGGTCAATGTTACATGGTTTTTTTTAGCAATTTTCTGAGTTGTGCTCTTTCTGGTATGGTTTCAAAGATCTCTTCGCTCTGCACAAGTTAGCTATCAACGTTGACCTTGACCATAAAAAATGGTGACGCCGCAAGCGGTAAAAGGGACGGTGGATCCGCACGAGCGGTTAACGAGGGCTCAGGGGCGAATGGGTTAATGAATCATTTCATGCACAGTGTACAATTGCGTTTTCAATTGATTGATTTGTGTTATTTTAATTTTCTCTGTGTTAACTATTTGTTATTATTTGCTTGGGTATAAAGGCATTCATTTATTGGTAATTTTTGTTTTTCCCACAACTGAATAAGTCATGTTAGTCCCACAGCTGAATTACCTGGTACGTGAGTAACAAAAAAGAACAATTCGCGTTTGAACAGAAATTTTTAGGTGTTGGGAAGAGTGGAAAGGTGTGTATGTGATTCGTTTCTGGGATATGGCTTGTTTCAAAACTTTTTTCCATGTAATTATGTTTTGCGTGATATCCGACTTGTGTTTTCAATAACAATAAACCAATCTGTATTCCTTATTTTGGAACGAAGCTACCATATTTATACTGCATGCAGTATTTAAATTAAGAGTGGATGATGCGATAGAGCGTCACATAACGTCACGATTGCCATATTGGGTTTCCAAAACCGAATGAAACGGCGGCCATGTTGGTGTTCCAATACAATCCAATGGGAGGTGAACTCTTTTCATATAATTATGTAAATGCTTTCTTTAATATTCCAATAAATTTGCATAGATGCTGATCACGTGAGTGAAAATACTCTATACGTTATCCTAATTCAACGGCAGGGAAAGGAGAGTTTTTTTGTTGTTGTTAATTTGACTTCCTAAAGAGCTCTTTTGTTAAATACGTTTTTGGTACGTAATTTCAACGGGCAAATGTGAAAAACGGTTAATTAATTTCGCGTGTTTAGATTTCACGAGGATTTTTATTCACGGGTCTTTAGAATCACGATTTCAAGTAACTAAGCACCAATGACGTTGTAATTTTTTTGTTTGTTTTTAAAGGTGTTGCGAAGGAACCAACCAAAAGTTATGTTACTGCGACAACTGAATCACCAGGAGGTACATTTTTACTATCAAAAGTAACAACAAACGGTGCCATGTTAATAGAAAATTGTTGAAAATCGTACGAGAACAAAAAACAACGACTCTCTACTAACATACACAAAAACCAAGAAGTACAATGTATTGTGGGGGATTACTAAAGTGGTTACTCAAACACGATAAACATTTCACTTTAACAGCACATTCTGGGTTTTGGTTCTGTCATCCTGCCCTTTCCTGGCAAAAGCAAGTTTGATCATGTTTTTGTTACATACGAGTCGTAAAGTCATCCATGTGGCGCCTCCGCATTAATTTTGTATCTTTAGATAAAACATTTGACGATTAGCTAAACTACGGAAAGTCATGAAAACTTGACTTGATAGCCTAGCAAGTTTGACATGTTTCCGTTACGTACGGGTCGTAAAGGCACCGATGTGAGGGGCTCCACATTGACTTTGTATGTTTAGGAAAAATGGCGCAAAGACCTGACTTGAATGGGTTCCTTTACTTTTTTTTTTCTTTAAGGCGTAACGGGAGAAACAACTACAAGTACCGGTAATACGTATCTAATTTAGAACGATGTTATTTGTAAACAGTATATTCCTGACTCATTTCATACCAGGTATTTTGAGGGTGGGGAAATCATCTTCAACCCGCACTTGTCTCTTGTTGTAAGTCGCCCCATTCTGCACTAGGGAATCCAAGAAAGTCTTGGATTCCGGATTCCGCGCCGTGGTTTTAGGATTTTCGGATTCTGTCAGTGGAACTTGGATTCCAGATTCCTTGAGCTTTATTCTGGATTCCAAAGCTCAGGATTCCTCGCCGTAGATTCTGGATTCCAGATGATGGATTCTTCATTCTTTCTCACTGGAATTTGGATTCTGGGTTTTAATCTTTAGTGGGATCAGCATCTGGATTCCTTGAGCTGTATTTCGGATTTGCAAAGCTCAGGATTCTGGATTCCACCAATCAAATTTGCTGGATTCCGGATTCCACAAGCAAACATTTGGCGGATTACGGAATTCGGATTCCCTTACTTAGGGCAACTGCGATTGCCTTGTCGATTGATTCCTTTAAAATGATAAGGATTTTTTTCCTACGTGATATGCTGTTATTTCACCTACTCGCCGTATCCTCTTTTCTATTTTCGATTGAACGTCGGGTCTAAGTGGCTGGGGTTTTTAATAAGGTCGCAGGCATCTCATAAAGGGAAAATTTTGACGGCTCATGTTTGGGTAGAGGTATACCTCCGAGGCCTTTAAGCACTCACCCTTTTTAATAATGGTAACGCGGGAGTTGATCTCCACATTTCTTTGTAAGATACTCAGCCAACCTTAATCTCCTCAACGTCTTGGAAGAAAGTTTCCTGACAATTTTAATTAAGCAACTTTAGGAAATAAAATGCTTGGCTATCGAAAAAAATCAGCTTTATCTTCGCGGGGGGTCGAGACCAGAAATTGAGCTATGCCTTAACATACTTTAAAAAAACATTGAGCGCGGAGGATATACCACTAATAGAGGACGTGTTTCTATTGCAAGATGTCATGTTGCAAAAAGTTTCACGCGTGTTACTAAAATGGTTACTGGAACACGGTAGACGTTTAACTTTAAAAGCGTGTTCTGGGTTTTGGTTCTCCAAGCCCTAGCAAAAGAAAGTTTGACATGTTTCTGTTACATACGGATCGTAAAGAAAGGCAGTCCGATGTGGCGGCTTCATCATCAACTATGTATGATTAAAAGTAGGTTGAGTTTGATCGTCCGGGAAAACGTTATAGTCCTGAATAGGACTGTTGTTGTTGACAGTGACTGACGTTTTGACAACCTGTGCGGTAGTCATCTTCAGAGTCAAAGTGAGTTGTATTACGTCAGTTGATGGTATTATACTCTGGTTATTGACCTGATTGGTCAACTACGTCGCGATGTTATTGGTCGTCTTTCAGTTAAGCCGTGATGGTATTGGCTATGAAGACTCGTAATCAGTAATTGGTGCGTTTCGATCCGTCTGTTGTCACCGTTAAACAGTCGTCTATTGTTAGTCAAATTGTCAGTTCTCCAGTCGTTCTCTCGTAGTTAGTTTTGCTTGATCTCGTCAATAAGTCGTTTGTACGGCGTTGGTAACTGTTGGCTACGATTCAGTGGCATTTGTTCTAAGTTAGTAAACCAGCTTCCTAAAGTAAAACGTTGATAGTAGTCTGTAGAATACGTTATACATGTCGCAGAGTCCCAGTCAATTTGATGTTTGATGATCTGCCAAACTGCCTAGAATTCTCTGTTCCTCAGATGTATACTGACCACACACACTTTACTTTTGCCGGTAGAGAGCCTGATCTTATTGAGCGCAATCTAAACTATGATTGATTGGTCAGTGGCCAACAAACTGACACTAAACAAATCCAAAACTGAATTCGTGGTGATTGGGACTCGGCAAAGGTTAAGGACTCTTGACCTATCTCCTGCTCTTGCGATTGATAATTCTCCAATCTCTCAAGTTGCCTCTACCAAATCTCTTGGGGAGCACGTCGACGAGCATCTTTCCTGGAATACACACATTACTAAAATCTCTCAAAAAAGTAGCTTCGGGCATTGGTGCCCTAAAGAGCTGTCGTCTTAATTTGCGCGTGCAATTCGATAATCCAGCCACACTTTGAATATTGTGACATAGTGTGCAATAATTGCGGGGCAACTAACGCCATGAAGCTGCAGAAGCTCCAAAATCGCGCTACCAGGATTTTGACTTCCTCTGACTACGACGCTGAAGGCGAGCCACTTTTTCAGCAGTCTAATTGGACTCAACTTGCTCGTCGTCTTGAACTTCCACAGTAAACTTGGTTTACAAATGTACTCACGGTTTAGCGCCTGAATATTTACAGGATAGATTTGTAAACCGTGTTTGGAATTAATTTTTAAAAGATTCTTCTAATAAATTTGATGTCCCTCTCCCCCGCACCAATGATCTTAAAAATAGTTTTCGTTATAGTGGGGCGGTCTTATGGAAAGGTTTGCCTTCTACTCTTCGGCAAGCAGAATCCATACACAGTTTTAAATCTGGCTGCAAGGAATTCTGCAAATAATATACACTCGGCACCCATGGAAATTTATGTTCTATTTAATAAGTATCATAACGCTTTGTAGCCTCTTGACTTTACTATGAGACAGTTAATTAAAAGATTCAATTTATTTTTTTAAAGGCATGACAGCGGGTACAACTACAAGTTATGCTACCCCTACCTCTGGATCACATGGTAACGTAGTATTACAACCTTAAGAGTGATTGTTGAGTAGTCATCATTTCAGTTTTCATGTTGGCGTTGCGAGAAAATATATCCCATTATTGGCGCAGTTGCAGCTCTGTCCAATAACTCGGATTTTCCGATCCTTTTTCCCACTAACCTATATTTAAGGCAGAATTGTGTTTATAGAATCTGATAGTCAGCATTAGAATCGAACCTATAGACAACAGCTCCGGCCCATTGAACGAGGACAAGGTTATTGATTCGCCTTTCCTCCCTTAGTGAAAAAAGAATAAAATCCAACAAACAAGGAAATGAAATCTTTTAACGCCTATGTGGACAGAGGTTAACGTTGAAGCAAATTTAAAGAGGTAATTGTTGCTACGCTAGTTTTACTCTACCCTTTCTATCCGTACTTATTTTCTGCGTTAATCTGACTTTTATGCTTCCACAGCTGTCAATCCAACAACATGTAACTTGTGCCTGGGTTCGGGTAATGTTGAGCTGTGTGAAGGCGAAAATTTGCAGATTCAGATGCCTTGTTCTAATGACACATTCCCCAACATTGGCACAACTCACTGTTATACAGCAGCAGGAACATTCAAGTTTTCCAGCGTGCCTGAGGTTAATTACACAGGCTTTGCAAGAGGATGCATCAATTGCACAGGTTTCAATTCCCCCCTCCTCCCCTTCCTCATTTTCATTAACACTTGTTTCGTACAGAGTCTTGAATTCGTGAAAAAGTGTTTGCCCAGCAATTTTCCAAACCTGGTAAAAGTCTACAGTATAAAGATAAGTTCTGGAATATTGTTTATTTTTGCAGCGCACCATGAAAGCTCATAAAAAAAGCTTTGTTCCTGCGTTTTTTAAGGTCTCTATAGATCACTTATTTGATAACCTTGAGTTTGGAAAAAGAAATCATTGTTTTGGAAAAAAAGTCTGGGAAAAGTCTTGAATTTTAGATCCAAAAACCTGTACGAACCCTGTAAACAGAACAAACAGTTAGTGTGACCTCTATTCAGAGAACTCTCTCAACTCACACCAAAGGCCGACCTAATTAGTATAGAGTGCATCATTTAGACTCATACTTGGGTTAGGGATCTCATTAGGGAGGGCAGGAATATATTAACTGCGATGATGTCGATTACCGCCGCCTGGTTAGCTCAGTTGGGAGAGCGCCGGTCTGCCCAGCGGGAGGTTGCGGGCTCAAACCACAGCCGGACCAACACTCAGGGTCTTTAAATAACTGAGAAGAAAGTGCTGCCTTTGTAATGACATCTGCAAATGGTTAGACTTTCTAGTCTTCTCTGATAAGGACGAAAAACCGTAGGTCCCATCTCACAGCACTTCACTGATTTCTTCTTGTGGGACGTAAAAGAACCCACATAACAATTCGAAAAGAGTAGGGGTCGTAGACCCCGGTGGTGTGGCCAACCTTTACGGGTTGTGGGATTGGTTAGGGATGGCATCCCGCATGGGACCTGAGTCCGTTTCGTGCACATTCCCTCTGGGCAGGCCTGTGTCCAGAAAAGCTGGTAAATAAATAGATGTCATAACCTTATTTAATATATCATGAGTGAAGTGCGGGGAAATCTCATTAAGATAAGTTCATGTGCTATGTCGTAAACCGTTGGATAGGATTTCTAGTTATTTCCAACTAAAAACTAAGAAATTTTTTCATGGGTTGATTCCTGTTGTCAAAGGAAAAAGCGCTGACTCGCGCGTGACTTAAAAACACTGCCACTTTGATTGTCCCATAAACTGTTCCAGTTTGATATTTTGGCATGATTTAAGCATTTTTGTACTGGTTTTGGCCTGACTGGCCTTCTATAGAACCTTTATATTCGGTGATGGTGGAAAAATAATAGAAACGTTGGGGTGGTGGAGGAGGGAATAAATGGAAATGACGTGGTTGGATTGGTGTGGTGGCGGTGGAGGGACAGCAACAGAAATTTAGTGGTGGTGGTGGAGTGAAAACAATAATGATATGGTGGTAGTGGAGGGAAAACAACAGAAATGTAATGGTGGTGGTAGTGATTAAGAGAAAACAATAGAAATGTGGTGGTGGAAGTGGAGGAAGGAAAACAATAGACATCTGGGCCGGGTTGTTCGAAAGACAGGATGAATTAACCTCGAGTTAGGCCTAACCCGAAATTAATTTTCTTAACTGCAGGTTTGTTAACTTGGGGTCAAAATGGAGTTGTTTGAGGCGCGGCTAGAGGACCGGTTAGTTAACCTCGGGTTATCGCGACCAACTCGCGGTTAGCATCCCATAATACCTCTTGGTTTGTTTACGTCCTAAAACGGCGTCGGTGGAGGATCCCAGAAAAAATAATTTCAGCGCCTCTTAGATTGCTATTTCAACCGAGAACATGGAAGAAAACTTGCACGTTTCGCAAAGTAGGTTGACAAACAGTGTGACAAACCAAAGGCAAAAAAATTGGACACCAATAACAGTGACACAACGCTGTAGAAGTGGAGGAGAGATAAGTGGCGAAGTCCGAGGGAAGTGGAAGAATCTAAATTTTTTGAGCAAAGTTTATCGAATTCACAAAATTTTGAAAAGAAACAAAAAGAACTGACGGAGGATTGACCTGCTTCCAAACCTGTAGCGGGCTCTTAGTTCTTCGTTTGTAAAATTTTTCATTTTTTTCATTTGTCTGAACGATCTGTGATTCTTTTCTGTTGTCGTTTTAATAGTCGGTAAACCGTGACAACAAGTCAGCCATTTTTTTTTGACGTTACTTTTATTATCATTTAACCTAAGGTTAGTTATTTAACCTACCCAGCTAGCAGGGGTAAATTTAACCCGCTTTTTAACCCGAGGTTTGAGCTTACCGATGTTTGAACAACACAACAAACCTGCGATTAAAATTTGTCCTCGGGTTAATTAACAATTAATGCCGGGAATGAGGCTGAGTGTCTTATGAAGAATTATGCAGATCGAGGAGGGTGTTACGGCCGAGGCGGATAACACCCTCCGAGATCTCCATAATTCTTCATATGATACGAAAGCCGAATTCAATAATTGTTTTATTATTCATTCAAAATAACTTCTAGTTTAAAAACATGACAAACACATGCTTACCTCCATCGATCCATCGATGTTTAGGTCATATTCGATAGTGCACGTAGCAGATGTCGCCCTTCGAGTTGTCTTCTTGCCATTCTTGCCATTTTTTAGTTATTTTTTCGCCTAGTTCTTACATTTGAAACGAGTGAAATGTCCGCCATTTTTCAAGTTCACAACCAAAACAACTCAACCTGGTCCCCAGGTCTTCTCGGTTAACGGTGCATTAACCTGCAAAAACGCCGCATTTTTGACGTCATTTCCTCGTTAAGCACAAAAATTCTTCTAAATTTGGTAATGAGTAACTTGTTATGGTGAATCAAACGTGTACTTTTAGCCAATCAGAATCAGGGAAATATTTTGAATGAATAATAATTAACAATTAATGAATGAGGCTGAGTCTATTAGGAAGAATCATGGAGATCGAGGAGTTTGTTATCCGTCGAGGCCGTAGGCCGAGGCGGATAACACCCTCTGAGATCTCCATAATTCTTCATATGATACGAAAGTCGAATTCAATAATTGTTTTATTATTCATTCAAAAAAATTCCTAGTTTAAAAACATAGCTAACTCAACCTCATCCCCAAGTCGGTGAACGGTGCATTAACCTGCAAGAAAGCTGCACTTGTGACGTCATCGGTTGATTAATTGCAAAATTCTTCCAAATTTGGTCATCAGTAGCTGGTTATGGTTAATTATGCGTGTGCTTTTAGCCCATCAGAATCGGGGAAATATTTTGAATGAATAATAAGCTAACTTAACCCGAGGTTAGGATTTAATCCGCTTTCGAACAACCGGGCCCTGGCGCTGGTTGAGTTAAAACAATGGAGATGTAGTGGCGGTGGAGTTGAAAAAAGAAAATAGAGATTTAGTGGCGGTGGAGTTGGATAAAAAAAAATAGAAATGTGGTGGCGGTGGAGTTGAAGCGAAAGCAATAGAAATGTGATAGTGATGGTGGTGCGGTGGTGAAGGGGAAACATTAGAAATGTGGTGGTGACGATGGTTGTGAAATGTGGTGGTGGTGTTGAGAAAACTGTTGAACGAAATCTGGTAGTGAAGAGGAAACATTAAAAATATGGTGCTGGTGGAGGGAAAACAATAGAAAGGTGGTGGAGAAAAAACAGTTGAAATGCGGTGGTGGTAGTAGAGGGGAAACATTACAAAGGTGGTGTAGTCGTGTTGGTAGAGGGAAAACAATGGAAATGTGGTGGTAGTGGTGGTGGTGGTAGGGGACATACTTATTGTCAGGATATAGCTAGCATTATCGACTCAAGTTAGGTTAAAAAAATTCGATGCTAAGATGTTGTTTTGCATTGCTTTTGTTAATAGACAAAGCAGCAGCTTGCGCAGTATTTGCAGCGGCTTTTAATGCTCAACCTCAAAACTGGACCTTGCTGGATTGTAATATTGAGTGTTGTACTGGTGACAACTGCAACAACCAATACGTCACCGCAGTTCCTCCAACAATGGTGTATACGACAACTCCAAATCCTGTTTCTCCTACTTCCGAGTCACATGGTAGGTAACACGCGACAAAGAAGGAACTCAAACGTGGGGATATGATCGGCTATCCTTTTATAACATTTATTTATCCTCTCGAATTCAAAGCAAAAAAAGCATACTACAAAAACTTATATTCCCTGCTAAGAACAACGTACGTAGCCGGATGGATTGGGAGATGTAATTTTTTTTATCGACACTCAATTCAACCCCCCCCCGTCAACTCCCTATGGAAGGCTATCCTATGTACTTATTATTGTCGGCACCATTGAAGATTGCATCTGAGGGGTCCAAAATGTCTGCGTCTTAAAAAAAAGACAGAGCCCGCCTTTTATTGTCTATTAAGGGGGGCTAGGAAGGGGGGGTATAGCCCCTCCAACAAATGAATAAGCCGCCATTCTAACACCTGAATACTACAACCTTCCCGACACTTGAGTGCAAGTCTACACGGTGCTGCACGCAGATTAATATCCTAAACTAGTGAGTGGCGTTATTATTTTCTTGTTTTTGTTTTTAGCAGCTGTCAACGAAACAACATGTATCGAGTGCTTCGAAGTTGAGGCCTTGAACATATTCTGTAAAAATTCCATTCGACACATACCTTGTTCTTCTCAGTGCTACACAGCTAAGGGAAACGTAAAGTATTTCTACAGTCCTGATAAAGTTATTACTACAGTCCTAGAGGGAAGAGGATGTGTCAACTGCACGGGTAGGAAAATGGTTTAGTCTAAACGGCACTCAGTAAAACCAGCAGTTAAATTATATAAAACACACATGAATGGTATGGTAACTTTATTTATACACGGTATTTCCTTCAGGTACATTTATGTATTAATGTATTATCTGTAGTTAGGTTTGGGCTAACTAATAACTTGGACTTGTAATTAAGTGTTGCTTTTGTATTGGTAGAGTTACCTTAATTAGCTCTTAACTTATTATTTGAAGATCAACGGTCACTTCTGCCTTAAGTATATGTGAAACGAGTTGGTGTACCGAGTAGGAAATAGGACCACCCGACCGCCGCCCCGCAAAAAAAGATACAATTGTAACTAAAATGACTTAGGCGTACTGAAACGCACGAGGTCCGTCTTGTTT